TGTAGTGCGCTAGCACTACAAGTAGCTGCAATCAATAACGATAGGTAATTATATAGAGTAAGGAGCAAGGACGAACTAAGTACGCCGGAAACTATCAAAGAGAGTTAATTGAGTCTAACTTAAATAGTAGGATCGGCACACAAGGATCGTAGCCGATATCAGACAGGAACAGAGACCGACACCGTGCGGGGCGAATCGGGCGCACCCAGAGGATGGCGCCCCATGATGCCTGCAGAGGCCAGGGGCGCGCCCGGAAGGCGACCCTCAGTTTTTTTGGACAACGAAAAACGTTGAAATACGTTGGACCCGAACCGAGTTTTGACTTAACGTTTCCGGACAACGCACATTCTCTGTATAGTGTCGCCGAACCTGCTAGGGGTTAAGAGTATTCGACCGCCGAGGTCATTACACAGAGGGAGCAGTTTTCACTCTTTGAGGATTTCCTCCGGACGAAATCAAGAACTCGAATGCCTTTGAATAGTAACGGATATTATTGAGAGAATAGCGAGAATTATTACGAGTTTAGATACCTGGTAGCGCTGTGGGCGCTCAGCTCTGAAACTTAGAGTTCCTACGTGGTGACAGCAATGGCGCGTCAGTGCATTACAGTAGGTGCCTGTAGAGAGGGGACCAGCGTCTGCATCGAGCTTAGTTTCGATGGTATCGGAAAAAAGCATATTTCCCAATATTAAGGAAACATGTATGATCTTCACATATGCAGAAGAAGCATGTCTTTGAGGTATGCACTCGAAACCAGCGCAGACTTGCGCAACCTCCGCCGGTGCAGGATTCTACAATGAACCGAAGCTGGCGAATGCTCACACGAAACAGCGTGTGCAAATTTGCATTGAAATTATAGGGAAAATATTTTGCACCTTACGCCGAACGTAATAACACAGGCATTTAACCTACGAAATGCGCGTTTACTCACTGCTGTGCGTTTTCGCCGCGGCGCTCCAAGCGGAGGTGACTGAAAGCGCTGTTTTGCCGCCTACTCCTTTTCCCATCCCGGAAGCCAGTTTCTCACACAGGGAACCCATCACGTTGGCTCAGAGGTCCTCCTCATCTAGAGGGAGGTGGGACCGCATGGGTGTACCGCCCCTAGCGGTTGCCCTCCTGGCTGCCACAGTTGCTACAGTGTTTTTGTTCCTTCAGTGTTTCAACGCCCTACAATCCGCCGAGCATTCGAGCGCACTTGGATTTAATGCGCGGAGACTTGCGGATGGAGGTCCAGACTCATGCAACGTAGGCCTTGTTCAACAGAGGCAGTGTACGCTGCACTACAGGCAGGGTATCCACCTCACGGAGAGATCTACAAATTCTGGACGCATGTTGAGTTGATGAGTTGATGCGTGCACGCATGTTACTAGGTAATCGTTATCTTCCAATGGAATACATGGACTACACTTCACCGCGAGGAGCTGTGGCTACAAGGGAATTCCCACCGGTGACCCCGTTGCACAATACGAGCCTAGGAGACCTACACGCAACGAGCGAAAATTTCGCTGACGGGAAAGAGTTGTGTTGTCTTCCTGGACCGTCAGTGAATTTTAGCTGGGCGGGCAAGCCCAGTATCGTATGATTTGCTTCTCCGGTAGATGCATGGTGATATAGCTGACGAAGCCCGATACACACTGTCGTGTGACTGTGGGGAGCTAACAGGAGGCGCTGCGTCGGTAAGCAATTGTACCAGAAGATGTATCGAGTCAAGTCATCAAGGTTTCGAGTAATGCGTCTGGCGGTGTCTGCGCTTTTTCCTTGCTTCCTGCTACTTGTTTGTGCCTATGCTTTGCGAGAGAAGGGGTGCTATGGCAAGAAAGTTTTAGCTCCCCATTCCAGCGCATTTGGTACTTCTTCACAGCTAAGTTTGCATGTGGTTCTTCAAATCTGCGGTGCTAACTTAGTCAAGCTGTCCGTTACTTTTCGAATGTTAGGACTGCCTGCACGGATAAATGGCTTTGTAAACTCGCAGGCGTTGTTTCACACCGCCCTTCTGCGTTAATGGGCACTAGAGAGTCACAGTTGACAGCTGGCTAAGACTGCTGAAAATCAACGGATTACTGAGAATTGAACAGCACTGCTTTGGTGGCATGCAATGCACATTTCCGGCAAAGGGAATATTCGAGTATTAGACGGAGACAGCAGTGCCGTGTTCTATATGTAGAGCGAAATATGGTGTAGAATGTGCGCTTAATACGGTGGGGGGTGTATGCCCAGTTTGAGGAAAAGCCGCCAGCTGGTTTGAAAGAACCGCGTTCCAGTTAAAGGGACGGCGTCATGTGCACAGTTGCTGTAGTATTTACTTGAACATCGCTCACCGGCGTGTCTTAGAACGCTGAAGCCACCAAATGCACAAGAAATCGCTCGATAATGTTTGGCGTGGCATCATGATACAGTAATTTGCAGTCGCTTTAGGCTGGAACACGTGCTCCTTAGGGGAATTCCGCTCGTCAAGCCCAGACTGTTTTGCTCTATTGAGTGCTCCGTCTGACGAATGCCCGCGGTATCCTTTTACTTTTACTTTGAGTATGCACACATCAAAGCACCTTGAGGGCATGGTCTTTCAGATGGGGAGGACGCAGTGTAACGTTTTTCAAAGTGCGCGAGTGTTTTGGGGGGAACGCGCTACACACTATGCAGCTTCAGGTACTGGATTTCGTCTTACGTTCCGTAGCACTAATGTATTTAGGATGTACACGATCGTGGGCGGTTGGTTTCTCTGCACGCGCTCCAAGAAAGGCGACAGCTGAGGCGCGAACGGCTCACTGCTTCGAGAGTTTGCAGAAGTGCGAATAAGCGTGAAGGTATTTGGCACCTGCGGAAAAGGTGTCACGCTGTATGTCTGGTGCTTGGTTAGGTGTCAGGAGCCATAGCAAACAAAAGGTTCGCGCCTATTCAGCAACCGGGAAAAGTTAGACAAGCGTGTTCTATTTGTTGCCACAGGATGTGTGTTGAAGGCTAGTTGCTGTTTCTTTTTTTTTCAGCCGCATGACTCGTTTCTCGGTCTGGCGGCGATAATGGGCCTTTCTGCGCAGAAATCGATTTTTCTGGGTCTTTCTCCGCAAGGGAAAACATGCGCATGCTGTGGCGTGCGCGGAATATTTTCATACAACGCTCTTGCAGCACTGGTTTAGAACTGCGTATGGAACTGTGGCAGGCCTCGCACTTCAGGCCGTAAAGAACTCGGACAAGTGACCACAGGAAGCTTGATCAAAACGCAATTGTTATGACTATGCGTTCAATATTTGCCGTTGTTCCGTCCATCCAATACGCGGAAAGCGTTGTTAGATCCTTGCAAAGCTACCTGATACCCAACCCAAAAAAGGGCGCGGGCATTGGCATTGAGATTGCCACCTTTGAATGTGCTGTACGGGATGTTGCTTTCAATACGCAAAGCTTGCGTTCGATTTGAGTAGTCGGCGTGAATATTTGCAGTGTTTCGCGATGTTATACCAACCGTAAACAAATGGGGACGGCGCTATATGGCGTGCTGACTACAGAACATGCATGTTGTTCGGGTACTGATTCTTAGGAGACGCCTCAGCGGCCTGTGTGCTGATAAAGTCCACGTTTCAGTCACAAAGAAAGCCGCGTAGGGTACTTGGCACATGCGGTTAGACTTGGCAGCAAGTTTGGGCGTCCGCCTTCAAAGATGAAGTACTGTTCTTGTCTCGTTGTACGCGCATAACGCATGTGCATTACGGATTTTCTTTCCGCTGAACACCCGAAATATCCGCATATTCCGCGTACTTAGGCTGCCAATTCGCTTACTTCGATATCAACAAATAGGCAAGGCTGTCCAGAAGGGAGGCGTCCAGCAAATAAGAGTGTGTGTAGCGCGTCTGGAATCTGGGAAGCAAATTCATATTCTCGGCGCGGTTACGCGCAAACCTACGTATCAGCCAGTATGAGGGCAGGCAGGGATATGTGTGCGAGTGCAGATGCATGTTGTTGGGACATCACAAGGCGCTCTCCTTCGGCATGGAACATGTTGCAGGTTAGCTCTTGAACCCGCATCTGTGAACATCCGGGCATTTTGCCTTTGCGCTTGTCTACAGCCACGGGGACGGCTCTGGCGTTGCAACAGCGCGTTTTATAACCAGGAAGCATGCATCCATCCGCTACCCAAGGCTGCGCAGATGTGGATTGTCCAGCAACTAGAAGT